TTCTTTTAAAAACTAACACCTAAGCTGGATCTTAAAGGATGGCAGGAATTTATCAGCTGGGCAGATGAGGAATGGACACTCCAGCTAGGAGAACAGCATGTTTCAGGAAATATTCAAGTGATTTAGTGTGGCTGGAACTTATAATACATGATGGAGAATAGTAAGAAAGGTAGAGTAGAGTAGTGAGGAGAGCTGGAGAAGTAGACTGGATAACGATTGTTCTGAAGGTAACAGAATTAACTGATTTTTAGGCAGGGAAGCAGCATGATTAGAATTTTTTTTTAAAGGAAACTCTGCAGGCTAGATGGAGGATGAACTGGAGTTACAGAGAACCAAGAAGCAGACGTCAGAGAAGGAGGTCAGCTGGTTAACCAAATAGGGTCTCACAGACCCTAGTGGTGGAACACCAGAGTTCAGGATCTCATATTTTGCCTGCAAGACCAGAAATCTAATTTTCCTAATGCATCTAGCATGGAACAGATACTTGAGGATTGACTCAATAATCAAATTCATAAGAGAATGTGGTATAAAGTATAATTCTAATTTACTAATACATAGTCATTCATTCATCACTTACAAAGAATCTACTTTAGCTAAATAAGCATTGTTCTAGGTTCTAGAACAATTCGTCACTAACACAGCTGTGATAGTGAAGTGAGATTATGAAAATCACAACTAAACAACTGACCAATAAATTTAAAAAATTGTAGTAAGCGTTATGAAGGAAAGGGCAAAAGGAGAATGTTGTAGTATCCAAGAAAGTGATGATAATCACCTGGACTAGGCTAGTGGCAGTGAAGACAGAAGTGGCTGGATTTGAGATTTATTTTGGACATAAACTCAACAAGACTTGAATTGGATGAAGAAGGTGAGGAAAAGGAAGGAATCAAGTTAACTCCTGGGCTTCTGACTTAAGTAACTGGGCAGAGAGCAGTGCCCTTAACTGAAATGAGGAAGACTTGCAGTAGGAAATACCCAGAGGTCTGTTTTAAACACAGTAACTTTGAGGTCTCTGTGAGACAAGCAAATGTAGAGAAGTAGACACTTGGATATGCGAGGCTGGAACTCAGAAGAGAGGTTTGAGTTGGAAATATGGATTTGCAATCACTGACATAATCATGGTATTAGGATCCAGTATTTTAATTACAATAGCCTGGTAACTTGTTTAGAATTGATGATTCCTAAATCTCCTCAGTAACATATTATCTCATAAGTCATTTCTATATATGACTAAATAATTGTGAATTCATTCCTACTAGTTTAGTTCTCAAAGGTTAACTATATTCAAGACTTTTTTGTGTGTGTGTGAGGAGATCAGCTCTGTGCTAACATCTGCCAATCCTCCTCTTTCTGTGCTGAGGAAGACTGGCCCTGGGCTAACATCCTTGCCCATCTTCCTCTACTTTATATGGGATGCTGCCACAGCATGGCTTGACAAGCGGTGCATCGGTGCGTGCCTGGGATCCGAACCTGCAAACCCTGGGCCGCTGCAGCTGAGGGTGCACACTCTAACCGCTTGCGCCACCGGGCAGGCCCTATTCAAGACTTCTTAGGGGGAGCCTCATTGTACTTTCTGTCCACTACATCAACCCCAATATAAATTTAATTTCAGAGTTACTAGATGCTTTTCATTAATATCTCAGTGACTTTTCTCATTTCCTCACCAAAGCCAGCTCTTAAAGGCCCCATATAATCAGGTGCCCATAGATGAAAATGGTTGAATAGGTCTGGATTGCTATATGGATTAGAATCTCTGTGTTAATTGTTTTCTATAAGTTAAATATCACCTACATGGATGTATGGGCTTATTTACCAAGTAGCAAGAGTGAGATCTAAATTCTAGTTCAAGTATTGTCACTATTTAAGTTTGTTTAAGTCATAGCCTCCATAGGCCTGCTGTTTTATGGGTCAAGTGAAGAGACTATGGGATATGTTAAAGCCTACCAAAACATAAAATTTAGTATACAACTGAAGGGTTATCATTATTAGCTTACTATTGAGCACCTGGAGATCTGGGGTGGTACTGAGCATCAAGAATGGTCCAGAGTAAAGATTCCAGCTGTCTGTTTCTGGATTTCTCATTATTTTTTGTGGACTCCATAACTTGGCTTCTGTATCTATAAAATAGGAAAACCACAATGCTTTTCCTCACCATTATGAGAAGAAAATTAATAAATGTCTATATGTTTTGCAGAGATTTCTAGATGAAAGAGGTTAGAAAAATACAAGTCATTAATTGTGTTCATGTCATTAATCGTGTTGAAGCTGTTATTAGCTTAGTTTCTGTAGGATCTATCTCTTGGTAACCTGGAAAAGCTTAGCTACCATTGCTTTTTGACTTGTGCCAGCTCCCCTGGAATCTTGGTTTTCCCTGGAAAACAAACTACTACCTTGGGGGATGCCTGAAATCTCTGAAGAAAGTCTCTTGGAAGTAGCCAGTTCAGGGAGGTCACACCTGTACCATGCTGTAAAGGAAAATCAATATTTTTACAAAAGTGGTCAAGACTATTTGCTAAGCATATCAGCATTTCCCAAACAGGGAGTGGAGATAAAATGAGGCCTCATTAAGACTTTATGTGTCTGTGTACGAAGACGAATGGCAACCAGACTTCTGGTTGTGAACATGATGCAGTCTATAGAGAAGTGGAAATATAATGATGTGCATCTGAAATTTATATGTTATAAACCAATCTCAATAAAAAAAATATGCTCTATAAAGTGTTTCTGGCAAAAAAAAAAAAAAAAAAAGACTGTTAGTGTGAACTAACTTCGTTAGTGTGAACTGAGTAACTTAAGGGTGATTTCCTATGAGCTCCTCTCCATCACTTTTCTTCTCCCTTTGTTTTTTCCCACTTCATTTGTCTTCTCTTTGTCTCAGTCTTCATTTTCCTAGTTCAACAGGCTTTTCAAAAACTTAGGCCACAACTATTTGCCTTTCTCCTCTTCAAGCCTTCCCCACTCAAAGTGATTTGCGGACTGTTATGCCCCAAATATTTGTTACCTCTCAGAGACGTGGAGGAGAGAAATGGTATACACCAGTGCCTCTCAAACAGGGGTGATTTGGTAATGTCTGGAGACATTACTGGTTGTCACACCCAGGGGGAGGGTGCCACTGGCATCTAGTGGATAGAGGCCAGAGATGCTGCTAAACATCCTGCAATACACAGGACAGCCCGCAACAACAAAGAATTACCGGGCCCAAAATGTCAATGCTGCTGCTGTTGAGAAACCATGGTATGCACAGGTGTCAGTAGCTGAATATTACTGAGGAAGCAGTGCAGCCTCCTTACAGATGCAGATTCTCAAGGTGGTAAACTGGCAGCCACTGGCATCAGATTGTCTAAACCTGGATCCTCAGGTTCCCTGTTTTTGCTGGCTGTATGATTCTGGACTAATTATTCAATGCCATGAAAGCACAGTTTCCTGATCTGGAGAAAGAGGTTGATAAAGCATCATTCTCACTAAGCAGTAAGCTCCTTGAGGCAGGGACCTAATTTCACCTGCCATGCTTAGTTTAGGGACTAGAACCCAATCGGGAGTACTAAATATTTGTGGATTGTCTCACACAGTTGTTTTGAGGCCTAAAGCAAAGAACATATATTAAGTGACACGAAGCACAGTGAGGAGAAAAGCAGCCCCTGACAGTGGGAGCTGGTCTGGCACTATTGGCTGGGATATGCTGTCCTGTTGAACATAAACAATTTCACAGAACACCAACATCAGACAAAGCTACTCTGTGTCCACGACGGATCAAGAGAAAAACAAAACTACCCCATAATCACATCTGAATATAAACAAAAAAAGAATATGGGCCAACCAAAAAAGACCAAACATCCCCCTATCCTGGCTAACATGGGGGACTGCTGCTGCTTAATCAGTCATAGCTTTAGCCTCTCTTGCCTCTTCTCCTTTTTAGGTAAGAATTATTAAAATACCCTATCATAGGATTACCTCCACCTAACAGCATCCAATCCAGAGAGGACTGCTTCCTCCCCCAAAGTACCTAACACAAGCCCAAATCCTGTCAGTTCTCTCCAGTACCCTCCTCCTGGGATGGCCCGCTCTTCCTCTTCCTCATGGTGTGCCTTCCCTCCTGACAAGGAGACTGACGCCCAACTTTGTTCAACTATAGGGGTGTTCTCGGTGGTCTCTGGCTGGAGGGCACTGACAATAGTGGGAGCCCCCTAAAGGGTACTTGCTATGATTATGCCTCAAGGGAAACTGCATGATGCCCCCATAGCCTTTAAGCAGAGACTTCATAAACAAGTATTTTGAGGCTTCTCGACAGACTGCCTCTTGCCAGGCCGTTTTTCCTCAGAGGACGTCTTCTCTCAGTCTGCAGGAAGGAGGCTTTTGGTTTCTAACCTCCTAAACTGAAATCCAGCATGTTAGGTTAAATTTCTCATGAAGTAAAACCCCTTCGCGAGGTGCGCACCTCCAGCTCCAACTTGGAGTTACTCAGACGCCAGAACACCCCAAGGGGGTATGGCGGAGGTAGCAGCACGGGCACTAAGGCCTCATGGTTTCACATTACTCGTTGTTACCCACCGCCCTAAACCAGGAGAAACGGCCCCGAATTCACTCCACAACCAGCGCAGAAAAGTGCGGAGTCTCTACTGGGAGAAAAGCTGAGGAGAAGAGCTGAGGTAACAGTCACCCCCCGCAAAACCAAAACTTCCCTGCCGGCTTCCTCAGACGTCGCGCACGCACACGCGGCGCTGGGCGGCCGCCGAGCATTTGCCCGCCTCTTCTAGGCGGACTACAAGTCCCGGCTTGCCTGGCGCCGCGGCGTCGCCTGGTAACTCGCGCCGGACGGAGCGCGCTAGGTCGGCTCCTCCGCGCGCCTGCGCCCTGGCGGCTCTGCACAGGCGCATTTCCAACGCTTGAGAGGAGAGGGCGGGGTGTCGTTCCCTTTCGCTGATGCAAGAACCTAGTGCGGTGGTGGGAGAGGTGTCGGCAGGAGCCGTGCTGCCGCTGGGGCCTGGGGCTGACCCGTCCGACTTTCCGTCCGTGCCGATCCCACTCGAGCCGCAACCATGTCCGGGGACGAGGTGAGGGCCGGAGCCTGGCGCTAGGGCTAAAGACTGAGGCAGGGAGCAGAACCCACCGCAGTGTGGGAGACCGGGCCTGCGGCCTAGCGGCCGGCCGCCGCCATGTGGGGCCGCCGGGCCTGGGCGGTCCGGGGCGGTAGAGCCGGCGAGGACTCCGGAGCCGCGGGCTTGGCCGCGCTCTGCTTCCCTCAGGGCGGCGGCGCTGAGGCCGGCGTCCTCCCGTGGCCGGCGTTTCCGGAATGGAGAGCACGTTGAGTCGCACTTCCCGAAGGGGGCTCGAATGTCTGGTTAATGCTCCAACTGAGCGAGATCGGGGCTGGCGACCCCTGCATTCCTTTAAAGATTTGACAGTGCAGCTCCAACTCTCCTCGCCGGGCGCCGGGGCTGCCGAGAGGAGCCTCCCTCGGCTCCGGTGGAGCGCCCTCGATAGAAACTTTGCAGGCTGGCTTGCCCTGGCCGGTATCCTCCCTTGTTCGCATCTCGAGCATTATTTCTTAAAAAGACCAGGGAGTGAGGGAGATAGGACCAGAGGAAAAGACCCTTCAGCATCGAAAAGTGACTAACCTTCTCGGAAAGTTTTAGGGCGGGAGTCCCTGAGCCTTTCTTAACAGAGAGCTTACAGCGACGTGAGCGGCCAGTCCGGGCTGCGAAGCTGGCTGCGTCTTTTTCTACCGTCGTGCTTGTACCTCAGCAAGTTTCCTCAAATCTCTTTTGACCAGATTTACCCCACTTCATATAAAATCAAACAGCCTAAAATGAAATCTGATTTTAAGTGCTATCAGTAGATATTGATTAACACTGGGGCGGGGGGGGGAGCTACCGCTTGCCGGCCAGCTCTCCCCACCAAAGAAGAGCTCTTGAATTCATGATTCAGATCTGTAAACATTCGAGTGCTTGGCCTGTAGGGCCTTGGAGAGATGGGAGAGGGAAAAATCGAGGCTTTCTCGAGCGTTGGCTTTTGAGGTAGACCGGGAACGATGCTTAAAATTTCCTCAAGTAGTGGAAAGGCCTGATCACAGGGCAAGGAAGTGGTTAAGGAGGCAAGTGTGCTCACAAAAAGAAGAATATTCTCCAATTTGATTAGAGTTAATCCCTTAAATATAGGTAGTGGCTAGTTCATGGAGGGATTTGAAGACCAAATTAAGGAATTTGGATTTTATTCTGGAGGGGACTCCAGTGTCTCAGTTGATTCTCACAGCAACCTTGTAAGATAAGTGTTATCGTTATGCCCATTTTAGAGATGAGAAAACTGAGGCTTAGAGAGTTGTATAATGCCCATCATCAAATAGTAAGTGGCTGAGCAAGTAGTAGAATTCCAGATCTATGCAGTATTGCCTTCATCTAGGTGACTAAGAGGCTTGTTCTCTTAGAAAAGAAACAGAGTCTGAAGGACTCTGTTCTTGCTTGGAGGTCATGGTAGACATTGGTCTGGGCTACTCTAATAAAGTCGTGAGTGGCAGTGTTTCACACTTGTTTTGTTTCTACCCATTTTCTAAGCTTTTCATGACCTTTAACACGTAAAGCACCTACGTAGGGCAAGGTACTGTGAGGTGTTATTCTGTGTGTGGTTTCTACAGTAGTGTTCACAAGTGTTGTGAAGGAGTAAGAAATCTACTAGTTGCTACAGTAGGTAGAAATAGAGCCATCTACATAGCGATTTGGGGAGCTGGAGGATTCAGTTTTAGCAGTTGGATTTTTGAAGGAAGTGGAATATGAATGCATTACTAAAGAGTGAACAGGATTGTCAGGCAGAATCAGCATGCCAGCAGAGGACTTTGGAAGCCAATAAAGTATTAAGCAGCTTGGCATTTCTCAAGTCTACCAGTCCAACTTCATTTTATAGACAGGAAACCAGGGCCCAGGGAGGTTAACTTGCCCAAGATCACACAGCAAGTTAGTGGGCCTACAACCCCGGTCTTTGGCTTCCACTCTGGAGGTATGTGTAGGTTCTGGTTCCTCTAGTACTGTGGACTACATAAGTCTTCTTAGGCCAGTCCTTAACATCTGACTACTTTACAGACTTGTAAGGATCAAGTGAAAATCTGTACATGGAAATGATTTATAAACTGCCAGGGACTCCACAGAGTAGAAGTAGACCTGCCTAGCGGACAGGATAGAATTAAATAACCTACTATTAAAAAATAATTTTTTCATATTTCTTTGTTTTTTCCTTAAACAGCTTATTAATGTACAAGTGACATGAAATAAGCGGCACACATTTCTTTTTAAACCTGATAATTAAGCCAAAAACTCAGCAAAACATAACCTCTTTTCACCTAGTGGAACCATGACCTTTAAAAAGCAGTATTCTAGAAATGTGGGTGCTACCTAGTAAGGAAAATATCCCCTAAACTGCAGGCATTTATTATTTTTTGAGACCATTTTTTTTAAGTGCTGTCAATAGCTACGATTATTGCTTATTACTAGGCCTCATTCACAAGTTCTGAATTCACAAGTCAGAACATCTGGTTTTCACACAATGTGGTAAGGTGTTCTACATAAGAAACTTTAAACTAAAAAGGTAGAATGGAATGTGTGTTGTATGAAGTTTACAAAACAAAGAATACAAAGAGAAATAAAAATCACCCAGAGATGACAACACTTAGCATTTGTTATGCTCACCCTGCTTCTCTGGGTTCTTTTGTAACTCAAACCTGCCTTCTGGGTTTGGTGTGGCCATAAAGTTATCATCTTGGATAAGGTATGATGGATGGAAATAGGCTTCCAATTTGATGAAGCACTTTAGGCTATTGTCAGGATAATTTTTGCTCACCTTCTCCAACCCAACACAACTTGGGAAGTTGAAAATGGAAAACTGCTTTCGAAGGCTTTGTTTTAGACTTAAAAAAAAATAGATCAAGAGATTTGGTTTTCCACAAGTGCACTGTCAGCAGCTATTTGCTTCTCAAGTCCAAACTAGTCTCGTAAACAAAGCATTTGGAATGTGATAATTTGTTAAGTCAGATATGAAAGTCTTAAAAAAACATTTTTTTAGTCAAGACTGACATGACTTTGTGGTTTGGGGGAGGTCTGCTTTGGGATCCCTGATTTCCTTATTTTTAAACTCTACTTTGCCAGGTGGTATGAATAAAATGAGGTGATGAGTATATGTCTTAGAGATCCAAGACAGTAATTGAGAGAGTTGTTAATTATTTCAGTGTATAATTCCTGCGTATTTATTAGTCTTTACAAGGTTACAACCAAACTGTTTCCCTGTAGACCTAAATTCGAATGTTTTTCAAAGGATAAGAAGCAGTTGTGATGCTGTGCTCTGATGATTTCAGGATCCCTCCCATCTTTGGTCTGCCTTGCTGAATAATAGTTAAAAGATTATTAATATTCCAGGGAACTTGGTACTTGAAAAAAAATGCAATAAGTGAATTGTAAGCCCTGCCAGAAAACCAAATTTGTAGTACCTGGAGTGCTGTCTGTCCTTTTGCCAAATCTCCCAATTTCAGGAATGAGGATGAACTGTAGATAAACCTCCCTGGAACAGATTGCAGCACTTCATGTATTTTGACCCAAGGACCCAGTACGTTAGCAGTGGGGAACTCCTTCCTCCTGGCTCTTCTGTCCTCTTAAGTTTGCCAAATTATGTTCTTCAGACTGACTGCATTTCAGAATTATTCACTTATACAGTTAGATCCTTGTTAAGGTAGGAGAGGATAACTTTGAAATGAAGCTATCAATTTCCAGAATGTCTTGCAGATTCTTCTCTGTTGGGTGAGGATGATAACTACCTTACCTTATTACAGACCATAGTTTGGTTTCAGTGTAGCTCAGTTTCCTTAATGTAGTTGGGACATAAAGAAATTTAAATTAATTAGAATCTATTTGGGGGATTTTTTTCAGAGTTTCATGATATGTCTTAGAAATTAGATCTTGAGTTGATGAAATTTCAGTGATAGGAATCGAGATACCATGCTTTTGTGAACTGTAAAACATTGTATAAATTATGATAATTGCTAACATTTATTGAGTACTTTTGTGCCAGGGACTGTGCCAAGTGTTTTATATTTATTTAATCCTCCCAATAACTTTGTGAGGTTTGGTTTTGGTTCTGCTACTGATCTCCATTTTACACATGAGGCATGGAGAGGGCAAGAACTTATCCAGGGTAACACAAGTAAGAGCCAGAGTTAGGATCTGAATTCAATCAGTTGGGCTCCAGACCTGCGCTTTTAAACACTTCACTACACTGTCACAGCAGATCATTGGGCAAAATGCTAAATTTAAGCATGGTAGAATTTGTACAAAAATTGGTAAGGGGCTTAGCAATAAAATACTTGGGATTTGAATCCAATTCTGTTTGAGTTCAAAGACCTCGCTATTTCCATTCTACTAGCATCTGCCCTATATGTTGTTTAAACTGTTATGTCTAAAATAACTTTACCTGTATTTTTTTCCAATTGATCAGTACAAACGGATAGTCATTCTACAAGTTGTAACTTAGTTTTTCACTTATTCTCTAGTGGACATTGGATAAAAATAACCTAAGAAAACTTTTAATGTTCCAGAAACAAAAGCAGAATAAAAGGTTATATAGAAGTTTCTCTTACTCAGATATTTGCTGTATGAAGGGTTGCTGATGGATTTCCTTAAAGGCTTATCTGAACTTCAGGTTGCCAACCTTAAATAAAACATGTATAACTTGCCTAGGCATTGATTTTTCTCATCCATAAAGTGAGGGGTGTAGCATGGGTTGTTGCTAAGGTCCCTTCCCTAAATTCCATGATTCATTTATAAAGTCTCCAGATTTGTTTATGAAACTAAAAGTGAAGTTGATGTCTTGAGAGAGTTCACAAATTGAAAGGCATGTGCACATATTTCAGGATCACTCCCTTGCTATGTTTAATAGTATAAGGAAGGTTGGATGGACTTTTTATTACAATCCTTTTTGGTACTTTAATTCAAGTACTCTCTTAAGAGTATGCCTTTTGAGGATACAGCATATTTAGAATGTGAATATCATTAAAAACAATCACTTGGTCCCTTTTTCTTTTTTATTGTCTTTTAAACAGATGATTTTTGATCCTACTATGAGCAAAAAGAAAAAGAAGAAGAAGAAGCCTTTTATGTTAGATGAGGAAGGGGATGCCCAGACAGAAGAAACTCAGCCCTCAGAAACAAAAGAAGTGGAGCCAGAGCCAACTGAGGACAAAGATGTAGAAGCTGACGAAGAGGACAGTAGGAAAAAAGGTAAGTGGTAGATGTGCGAGAGTCACTATTGTCCTGGGAGACCTGGGTCTCTTCCATCGACGTTTTGGATTTCATTCGTACAGTGACCTCTCAGCCTGATAAGGCTATTCTGGTGAAGTTGAGGCCATCAACAATCTGTATGCACTGGATCTTGCCAGATTTCTAGGGACTTGTTCCAGGGAATTTCCCACTGAATCCACAAGGTGCAGAGATGACAAAACCTCATCATTCCAGGTCTGGTTTTCCAGTCTAACCTGTCAGGTCTCTTCTCCAATTCTAATGGTGGTTGTATTTGTTTTTTATTTATTTATTTTTCCCCCAAAGCCCCAGTAGATAGTTGTATGTCATAGCTGCACATCCTTCTAGTTGCTGTATGTGGGACGTGGCCTCAGCATAGCTGGAGAAGCGGTGCGTCGGTGCGCACCCGGGATCCGAACCCGGGCCGCCAGCAGCGGAGCGCGTGCACTTAACCGCTAAGCCACGGGGCCAGCCCCTAATGGTGGTTGTATTTGAGTGTAGGCAGAAAGAAATAGGACCAAGATAGGCAGTTTTGTGTCTTAAAGTCTGAAAATGTATAGAAGAGATTAAAATTATGCCCTAAAATGTTTGGGTTTGGACAACAGCATTGGTTCTTCACCCTTGTGCTTTAATATAGACACCATTTGACTATTAGAGGGAAATAAATGATTCAGTAAACATAATTTATGTCTGTTGAATGTAAGATGCTGTGCTGGGGATAGAACTGACATTCATTGAGCATCTACCATGTACTAAGCATCTTGTACATGTTTAAAACAATCTTGGAGAGTTAAATCATTCTTGTAATAAGACAAAATGAATTCATAAATAGCTTCTTGAAACACTTTGTAGCAGAAGGATCCTAAAATATTCCTAATGTATAACGGGGCAGTACAAATAGAAAACTTATTGAACAGAACCCATTATTACTCACTACTGGTGGATAAAATTTCATTTTATTCATATTGTAGCCTTATGTTAATGAATGTGAAATACTTTATAAGGCTTTTTGATTGATTCAATACCATATTGAATTAGGCACTAGGATTTAGGTGAAAAAGGCATAGCCCCTTAGTATCTAGTAGAGAGATAGACAAGTAAGCCGATAAGTACCTATGTTGGGGTGACAGAAGGTATTATCGAAGCACCTAGGGGGCACCTAACCCAAGGAGGGGAAAGGAGGGATAGGCTTAGAGAAGGCTTCTTGGTGGAAGTAACTTCTCACCAAGATGAGATGAAGGTAAGAGCTATATGGCAGCGACCATGGAAAGGCTTGGAAGTGAGAGACCACACACACTGCACTAAGAAGTGGAAGTACATAATTCAGTTGGGCTAGAACCAGGGGTTAAGGTATTGAGAGATGAGAGGTAGGCAGAAGTGGAGAGATAAAGCTGGAGAGTCTTGGAAATTGTGTTAGAACCCTGACTTTGTCTTGAGAACAGTGAGGCATGATATGGTCAGATTATTAAATGAATATTCCCAACATAGTCCCCTAACGAGATTTTTCCTACAAACCTTTGAGTTAGTTGACTTGCCATAACCTTTGTGGTTGTGGAGGGACTACTGTACTAATTAATACCCAATTTCTATTCTGGTGAATTGATTAATTAAACATTAATTAAACCAGCTGAAATATTGGTTTAACTCAAAAATTGATGCTTTGCTTTCTGCTATTTGTTAATAATTGATAATCTCAATTATCTGTCTTTTTAGATGCTTCTGATGATCTAGATGACTTGAACTTCTTTAATCAAAAGAAAAAGAAGAAAAAAACAAAAAAGATATTTGATATTGATGAAGCTGAAGAAGGTGTAAAGGTAGTATTGCTTTCTTATTGAAGGTAAAATTTAACCTCTGGAAAGGTTGCTAATGGCTGATGTTTCTCCCTCTTTGTCTCATCTCTTACTAGCTTTGCTTTTGTTATTAAGTCCTTAATCACCACTGTGAAGGTCATTTTCTTGGGATTGTGCCTGACTAGGTATTTTAAAGGGATTATGGTTCAAAAGAATGTAAATTTAGGTTTTACACATTGTATTGTATACCATTAAAATGATTATAACATGCCCCTTGTCATTAACTATACTGAGATTGGTTCAGGAGAGATATGTCTCCTGAAATCCTGAGAAATCTTGTGGAGCAAATATTCCTGTGGTTTCTTCTGTAAAACTTTTAGTAGCATATTAAAGATACACAAACTTATGTGTGTACCTCTGAGCAGTAAAGAATGAACCCCAGCCCACGGTAGCTGGTGGCCGATGATCTTATGGTCTGTAAGAGAACCAGAGCACTCAGGCTGGTTTTATGGAGTTCTCTGATCTTGTAGGAACTTGAGGCCAAGTGTCCCATTTTGTGCCCTCTACCCGTATTCTTCTTTGGTAAATAGTTTATTTGCTCAAACTCAAATAAGGTATATCCTACATATAGCAGAAAATGTGTACAGTATTCATTGACTTTTGGAAACAATGTCGCAATTTTGGTGATTTGGTTAATTCAGCAAATATGTATTGGTGATTATAGTGAGTCAGGCATTGTGTGCTAATTGCTAGGGTACTGAAATGAATAAGATATTTTTCCTGTTTTCAGAGGTTATTTTAGTTCAGAGATAATTTCAAGTCCTTTACAACAAGATGATTTTACCTGGATTTGTCTTATTCTCTCCGTCTTTGGGGATTCTCTTCTTTCCCTACTATTATAGGGAAATTGGTAAAGAAAAGGTCAGATTATACTGAAAAAATGAGGTTTAAATATCCTGGAAATGTGCCATAGAAAGTCTTGGTTAACAAGGTTTTGTTGGTCGATGCCTTTAGTAGCTTTGTCATGAAGAATCACTTATAAACTCTACTTTTATTAAGGGCTTGGATACTTTTTTTTCTGCTACTGAAGTCATAACATAAGAGGGTATTACAAGTATTCTCATCAGCCAAGGCATGGGCATTAACTTGAAGCTGAAGTGTTTTTAAGATCTTGGGTTACTCTCCCACCTGAATTTTCAGACCATCAGAGGGCTTTTGAGAAATCTTGGAAAACGCTTTATGCTATTCTCTGCCTTTTACCAGGTCTTAGCCTCAGTTTAGAAGCAGATCTTACTGCGGTAAAATAAATAATAGTATAAAACTAGAAGATGGCTGGTGTGTGCTAATTTATATTCAGCCTATCTGAGTTGCTCATTTATTGACTGTTGTCTTAGAGACTAGGTTAATATTTGGTTTCTTATTTGTGTGTTATCCAGCTAATACACAGGGGCTGATTGGTCTTTGATGGCCACATGTGGCACTAAGACTGGATTTGAGATCTCAAGGCTGAGCTTCATTTACTCCCAGCTGTTAAACTTTTCTGCCAATAAGATTTCTGAAATTCCTGTAGCCATTGTCAGAGTAGTTCAGGATGTAGACACACAAAAATAGATATTGATAGGTAATGTTGACGGCATAGTTCAGAGTAGGGAGCAGGATAAGCTGGTGAAAGGAGGGAGAGATCAGAAGGCTGGAGGCTGAGACTGGCCCTTTCTGCTCTTCTGGGGTGTTTATGACTCATTTCTAGGCTGTGACATGCCCTAGTTACATCCATGACTATAGCAACTAATCTTGGGCTGAAGCTTTACCTTGTCTCCATCCATTCATCATGTGACCTTAATTCTTCATGGGTTCTGCCTTTTCTCTCTTTCATGATGTCATCTATTGAAGTGATGCCCAAAGACCTCTTCACAGTCTGGTGCCAGGCTGACTGTGGTATAATAAAAAATAAATATTTGGTCTTTGTTCCCGGTTCCTGGCACATAGCGCCTAAAATCCTTGGAATCTCTGGAGTGACAAAAGAATCTTTTGAGATGACTGGAGCTGGCTGGGAGCTCCTAGATAGCTGCAGGATGGGAGCTGGTTGTCAGAAAGATCAAGCCATGATTGGAGGATTGAAACTCTTGTTCCCCCTCTGCTTAAGTCAGTGAAATCAATGATGATTTAATCAATCACACCTACATAATGAAACCTCCATTAAAACCCCTAAATGATGGGGTTTGGAGAAATTCCGGGTTGGTGAACACATCAAGGTATTGGGAGAGTGGTGCACCTGTCCCCCTACCCCCTTTTCTTGCTCTATGCATCTCTTCCATTGGCTGTTCCTGGGTTGTATCCTTTATATACACCAGTAATAGTTTAAAGTAAAGAGCTTTCCTGAGTTCTGTGAGTCATTCTAGCAAATTATCGAACCTGGAGGCGGCAGGGGGGACCTCTGAATTCGTAGCCAAGTTGGATATAAGTGTGGATAACGTGGGGACCCCACACTTGTGACTGGCCTCTGAAGTGAGGACAGCCTTGTGGGACTGAGCCGTTAAACCTGTGGAGTCTGTCACTGACTCTGGATGGTATCAGAATTGAATTGAGTTGTAGGTCACCTAGTTAGTGTCAGAGTTAGAGAATTGGTGTGTGGAAAAAAACAATGTATTTGGTTTTAGGAGGGAAAAAAGCTCCCACTGACTGCATCAGAATACTTAGAAACTTCTTTAAAATACTCTTGAACTGTGTTCAACTCCTTGTCAATCAGAAGATTTAAGAATCTTTTAAAGTCTCTCAGATGATTCTGACGGTGGCCTGGTTTGGAAACATGGGCAGTAATTATAATAAGATCCCAAAGCTGAGGGATAAAAGAAAGGAGAAAATCCCACAAAAGTGTCTTAAAGAATTTCCAGTTTAAATGGCAGAGACTCTGAGCCAGTTTGGCTCACCTGTGAGAGACATTTCTTATCTGTAACTTCAGTTTTGAATATTTGATTTTTTTCCTCCAAAATGATGTCAGTCCATGTCATTTAAAAAAAAAGTCCTAGTATCAAAATGTTGAGACTCTTATCTCAATTTCTTAGGATCTTAAGATAGAAAGTGATGTTCAAGAACCAGCCGAACCAGAGGATGACCTTGACATTATGCTTGGCAATAAAAAGAAGAAAAAGAAGAATGTCAAGTTCCCAGATGAGGATGAAATACTAGAGAAAGACGAAGGTAATATTGGGGGCTCAGCAGCTCATTTCTAGGTCACTCAAGCCTTTGGCCTAGTCTCTTTGATTGGTGGGTTCTTTTTTTTCCCCTACCCCTTATTTCCACTACTTGATAATGGAAGCTAAAAGGAAATAGTATCTAACTTGATAATGATAGTTAAAGATTTCATGGGGGAAGAATTTGGCAATTGTGATTACATTAAAAACACGCTGATTCAGGCTATTGGGAAAATTATTGTAATTGAATTTTAAATGTTTAAAAAAAATTTTTTTAATATTTTGTTTAAAGTGCTGCTTTATTAGTTTCTGAGTGCCATAGGGTCTTGAGACAACTTGAGTATAGTCAGCAGATGGGTTTTTATGGATGTGTATGTTTCTTAAGCGCTTCACAACAGTTGGACTTTTTTCCATAATTATCCCAGCGCATTTTTTATCTTGTGTTTGTTAAATCAAGGAACAAGTTCAGTATGTCTGTGCTATCACAAATTCCTAATTAGAGAAGTCTCTGTCAAGGGTTATTTATGAAAGTCATAATATCCCTGTCTTTAAGGAATAAAGGGTTGTTTGTGGACCTTGATGCCTTCATGCTTGAGGCTGTTGTGAATGCAGTTGTGGGGCTGGGGAGGAGTCAAATGTCTTTGAAGCTGTCATTTCTCTAGATCTGCCTCTCCCCTTCCCCCTTTTGTTACTGTATCAGGGCCTACCCCTCATTCTTACAGTCTTTGTTATCTGTAGCTTTAGAAGATGAAGACAGCAAAAAGGATGATGGTATCTCATTTAGTAACCAGACAGGCCCTGCTTGGGCAGGCTCTGAAAGAGACTACACATATGAAGAGGTAAGACAAATTCTGTTATGAAAAGGGGCTAAGTTGTTCACTAGAACTTAAAGAAAAGCAAGATAAACGTTCCCTGAATCGGAAGGACCACTGAAGTACAGATTGATAGTGAAACAGACCCAGAGAGGTCACCCAGCCAATGCACAGCATTGCCTGATGCCTGCATATGGGGCAGACTGCCCAGAGTAGGGTAGTCGTTATAGTACACACTGTTCCCATCTGAATCTATGAACTTCTGAGAACATGGAGCCCCCTGGAATCGGGGGGAGGGGAGCAGTGGGAAGAGGGAACGGCTAATATGGGGCCAGAATATGCTGCTGTTGGCTTGTTTGGGCTTTCCTGAATCTTACTTTTCAGTGTATCATATACTTTGCCATAGAAACAGCAGAATTAGGGTAGGGGCCTGTTCATTTAACTTTGAACAAGCAATTGCTGAGCATTCATAATGGACCAGATCCGTGTTGAGGATTGAATCCTGCTCTCAAGGAACTCCCAGAACATGTAGTGATATGTGTGTATATTTAGTAAAAAGTGAAGTTAGCTCTGCTTAAAGGTAAAGCAAAGTGACTCAAGTGGGAACTTGGTACTCCTGCAGTTAAATAAGAATGTACATGAATACCACTTTCTCTCTATAGCTACTGAATCGAGTGTTCAACATCATGAGGGAAAAGAATCCAGATATGGTTGCTGGAGAGAAAAGGAAATTTGTTATGAAACCTCCCCAGGTTGTCCGAGTAGGAACCAAGAAAACTTCTTTTGTCAACTTTACAGATATCTGTAAACTGTAAGTTGGAGAGTCGCCCTCCCAAATAGTAGATTCTTAGTGGAGTATATGTTAAATGTCCTTATTGTGAACTTTACTGCAGGTAGAAAGAGGGAATGCATAGGCGTCAGGGTTGGATTGAGGGAGGTCACAGTTCAAGTCCATCAGTTCTTTCCACTGATAGGTCTCAGGGCTTGTTTTATCAGCATCCAGAGGTGAGAGAAGCCAACTCATGCTGATTTGAGGATGGATCCTAACCAGATGTGGTGAAGAATGAGGAGGCTGAGTGTAGTCCTCAGACGGGAGCCTGGGGAGCCTGGAGAGGGGGAAAAGCTCATCAGGCTGGGGTGGGCCTGCCAAGCAAGTGTAAGCAGTGAGCTCTGGGAAAGCAGCTAAATTTGGTGTGCCTCTTCCTTGGATGATCATTGCCAGGACACAATGAGAGTTTAGCTTTTTTAATTACCATCACATTCCATGCCTGTCTCAACCCAAGGTTACTGTCTGGGCCTGGCTCTTCTCAGAGCTCCTCAGCTACAGCTGTTCTGACAGGTTCCTTAGGGCAACTGACCTTATTTATTGTTTGTTCTTCAATTTTATAAGTGATTCATGCATGTTGCAGCTAAACGGGAAAACAATGGTAATCAAAAAAGACAATCCCAAAAGATTCCACCACCCAGAAATAACCATTGTTTTCACTGCTCTAGGCTTTACTTTAAAAATTTTAGATTTTTTTGCTGATGACAACAGTAGTATATGCTTATTACAGAAAAATTAGAAAATACAGAAATGCTAAAGAAAATGAAAAATCATGTTAAGTCCACCATTAAGAGATAGGTAATCATCATTTGATATTTTTATGTTTAGCTAGTTTTATACATAAATATTTTAAAATAAATTGGTATACTGGTTTTTAACCTGTTTTTCTTAGTATATTGTTAAACTTTTACCCATGTCATTAAATAGTCTTCATAAATGTTTTTAGTAGTTACGCAACATATTCTAACAGTTCCTTACTTGGACATGGTTGCTCCTGGGTTTTCACTATCAGAGGCAAAGCTTCAAGGAATATCCTTATACATATATCTTGGCAGTAACTCAGAATAGAGCCTTAGGGCAAAAATTCCCAAAATGGTATTGCTGAGTCAAAAGGAATGGATATTTTTATGGCAAACATTGGTAAACTGCTTTCCAACAAGCTTGTACCAATTTATACTCCTACTAGCAATGTTGGAGCTTACCTGTTTTATTATATTTTCACCGATCCTTGCTCCATTACATTTTGGGAAAAAATAATGGTTTTTAAAATTGTAATAGTGGTATCTGGTTATTGGAACAAGTTCAAACAGTGCCAAGTGAATAAAATTAAAAAGTGAAAATATTGAATGGCATTGCTCTGTATTTGCTTTTTTCATTTTATATGTGTACCTCTTTTTTTTTGTATATAGAGACCTGTCTTGTTCTAAAAGCAAGATAGAAAGGAAATTTTTTTAACCATGACCCAGTTAGTGGATATTGAAGCTGTTTTCCATTTTTCTGCTGTTGTGCTACCATGAAATACTTCTCTATATATTGTTTCACTTGTTTTTTTTTCAATGAAAAATTTCAAACAGGAAACAGGGATTAGCATAACAAACACCCAAGTTATCAAATTGCCTAGGTTTGGTGTATTTTGACCTTTTGACACATTTGCTTCGGATCTTTTTACTTCTTTAGAAAGAGGGTTTTACAGTTACAATTAAAGCCACCTTTGTATCTCTTTCTGATCTCATCACCTTCCTTCCCAGAAAAAGATGCTATCCTCTTGTTTACCTTTCCTGTCCATGTTTCTAGACATTTACTTACGTATTTATAAATAATATGGAGTATTATTTTATGGGCTTTAAAATGTAAAGAAATGGTATCATATATATTTTTATTTCAGAGTTTGACGAACTGTGCACTAAAATTCACCTAAAAGCTGAGTAATCACAGCTTAAAACAGTGAACAGGAATGGCTTTTTAGAAGTTTGGTTAGAATTCCATGCAAGATAAGGTTTATATATTCTACTTTCTTTTTAGATTACATCGTCAGCCCAAACATCTCCTTGCATTTTTATTGGCTGAATTGGGTACAAGGTAAGAAACTATATTCACAGTTATATACAGTATTATTGGACATTTTATAAGAACGTCTCTTAACTCGAAAAGGATTTGTAACATGCTTAGAAAAAAACATTCACCTGATTATCAGGATCTTTTAGGCCACTGAAGGAGGGAAATCAGTTCATTTCTATGGGAGAGGTTGGCTACTTGGGAATAGGGAACAGAGTTAACAGTAGCTCATCTCACAGGCCTACTGGTCTACCAAAGTGAGTACCATGGCACTTCCATGTTTAGAGTTTCCTGTCATTAATTGGATTTCTTGGGTCTTTTTATGGAGCAAATAGTAGATTTCAGAGGAAGCCATTTTCCTAGATCAGAATTTATTTTTTAAATTGTTAATAGGCTGTTGATGAAATACAGCTTTTAAGTTGGTGAGTGGCACAGGAGAAACGTGGAAACAAGGATCCCTAATTAAATACTTTCCTGGGCCGGCTCCGTGGCTTAGCGGTTAAGTGTGCGCGCTCTGATGCTGGCGGCCCGGGGTTCGGATCCCGGGAGCGCCCCGAGGCACCACTTCTCCGTCCAATGCGAGGCCAAGTCCCACGTACAGCAACTAGAAGGATGTGAACCTATGACATACAACTATCTACTGGGGCTTTGGGGGGAAAAAACTGAATAAATAAAATCTTTAAAAAAAAAAAAAAAATACTTTCCTGTCTTCAGGGCTCACCTGTTGAAGGCACTGAGTAAGTCCATCCCCGTTCAGGGAGGCCAGGATCCCATGGAGCCCATCCCAATGAGTTTGACCATTAGTGCTAGCAAGCTGAATAAAATAAGTCCCTTTAAAAATAAGTAATGTAGAGTTAGGGCCTAATAGTGATCATTAATACATATTGTGTACCAGGCACTGTGCCAAACACTTACTTGGCTACCATCTCAATCTTTTTTTTTTTTTTGAGGAAGATCAGCTCTGAGCTAACATCTGTGCCAATTCTCCTCCTCTTTGTTTTCCCCAAAGCCCCAGTAGATAGTTGTATGTCATAGTTGCACATCCTTCTAGTTGCTGTACGGGGGGGTGCTGCCTCAGCATGGCCGGAGAAGCAGTGCGTCGGTGCGTGCCCAGGATCCGAACCTGGGCCGCTGATAGTGGAGCGCATGCACTTAACCGCTAAGCCACGGGGCCAGCCCCCATCTCAGACTTTACAACAGTTCTATGAACTGTTAGTAGAAACTAACGTTAACCCTAACTTACAGATTTGGAAACAGGTTCAGTGAAGTGAAGTTGTGGTTGGTCACACAGCTAGTTAATGGCATTGTCAGTACAGACTCAGGTCTGCCTATCTCTGGAGCTTCAGCTCTTAAATGGCTTAATCTTGTGCCTCGCTGTCAGTACAGAGATAACTAAGGTGTTTTGTTCTCTTCTTACTCTTGAAACTCACAGTTTGTTGGAATTGGCTATACTTGCTGTGGGGTTAAGTCATAGTTTACTTGACCACTGGTAGATATATAGACTCTGTTGTAAAAGAATTGTGTTTTAAATGTAAATTTGTTACAATCATTGTTTATTTTTAACTTGTATAAACTAATGGAGTATAAGCTAACAGTGTTTTTCCTACTTCTCAGAATAATTTACAGTTTTTGTAGAGGTGGGATAAATTATAACAAGTGGTGACCAGTGAACTTATGGTTAGTGGCCTAAATGTTATGGGGTTGTTGAGAAAATTGAATTTCTTTTGACAGTGAATGACAAAAATTCCTACATCAGGCATTGGAATCACCATAGCCTGGAGATTAAGGGTTACAGTCCATGGAGGATGATAATAAACCCTTCTAGTTTATTAAAGGAGAATCACAAGAGAAGTTCTTGCAAAAGTCAGTTTTATAATGAGATACAGAACAAATATCAATTTAATGCTACCTGGCTGAATTTTGTTGTTTTACTTTGTGATTTGTAATTTTTAACAAATGATAGTGTCTAGCCCAGAGCTTTGCGTTCTCAAAAGTGCTTGTCAGCAGCTTCTTCTCAAGAAGTTTCTCTTTAAGCACCATTAACAATATGTGGCCTGTGATTTTAACTGTACTTTCTTTTTGGTGGTGGTGGGTAGGGTAACAGCTTTATAGAGATATAATTCACACACTTAAATATACAATTCATTGGTTTTTAATATGTTCACATAGTTGAACAACCATCACCACAATCCATTTTTGAACATTTTCATCAACTATATATGACTGAATCAAAATATTTGGTGCTTAGAATTTTTTAAGATATCTATAGCTCCTTTCATATTTTTATATTTATAGCCCCCTCACTGCTTTGCACATGGTATGCGTTCAGTAAAAATTTATTTCTCCTTTGTTAGATGAATGGGCCGTCACACACAGTTAAGGAATCAATTTGTTTTAGACTTAAAATCAATTATAAATCTGAGTTGTCACTGGAGACTTAATTGGTTGAAATTGGATTTAATGTTAGGAAATATGGGTAGGTCATCAGGCACCAACTACTTAATTAAAAATAAATTTTGAGAAACCAGGTAGTATAGCACTACTCCTCGAACTTATCCTATGCCATTGAATGTATTTTATTGAATGTATTTTAAACTCAATAAACGTAAAGGTTCTGAAATTTGGTTCCTTATAGGAAAAAATAATGAGATATTTTTGTTTTCTTTCATAGTGGTTCTATAGATGGTAATAACCAACTTGTAATCAAAGGAAGATTCCAACAGAAACAGATAGAAAATGTTTTGAGAAGATATATCAGTAAGTGTATAATTTCTTCTTTTTTTTTTTGTGAGGAAGATCAGCCCTGAGCTAACATCCATGCTAATCCTCCTCTTTTTGCTGAGGAAGACCGGCTCTGAGCTAACATCTATTGCCAATCCTCCTCCTCCTTTTTTCCCCTCAAAGCCCCAGTAGATAGTTGTATGTCATAGTTGCACATCCCTCTAGTTGCTGTATGTGGGACGCGGCCTCAGCATGGCCGGAGAAGCGGTGCATCAGTGTGCACCCGGGATCCGAACCCGGGCCGCCAGTAGCGGAGCGCACGCACTTAACCACTAAGCCATGGGGCCAGCCCAGTAAGTGTATAATTTCAACACATCACTCTGAAATGTTCTCATCAGGCTGCAATATTTTGAGGAGAGCCATTGGTTTGTAATGAAGCTGGAAAAGATGAAAGGGGAGGTGGGGCAGGAAGGTGGCTCTTGGTGGCTGATGAGACATGCAGGGAGAGGGGTTTGGATTTCATAGGAAGGCCCAGCCAATCAAGGCTGCTGGCTGGTTCCAGGCTGAAGGCTAAGTCAGAGAAATCTATCTGTATTCACCCCTGGCCCACCTTTGTTATCTTCCTGATCACTTAAAATTGGCAGGTCTGTTCCCACCTAGGAAACTAGTAAGTTCTCTGAGTGGCTCTCCTATAGGCAGAACCAGGAATAGGCATCTGGCAGGTGTCCCTGCCTCCTTGGACATTTGGAGTCTTTTTTCAACCCATGATTTAGTACCTGAAGCATCATAGCAGACAGCTTGTGTTTTCTTACCCTGGAATTGCTAACTTTAGCTAAGTTTCCCCAGTCTGGGTGCCATCCTGGGCCTTTGTGGAGTTCAGTGTGGAAGAAGTTTCAGAGGGAAGAAACCTCTGGCTTACTGTGGCCACCAGGTAATTCTGTATGTTGCTTTTCCTGCAGAGGAATACGTCACCTGTCACACGTGCCGATCACCAGACACAATCCTGCAAAAGGACACCCGACTCTATTTCTTACAGTGCGAAACTTGTCATTCTCGATGCTCTGTTGCCAGCATCAAAACCGGCTTCCAGGCTGTCACGGGCAAGCGAGCACAGCTCCGTGCCAAAGCTAACTAATTTGCTAATCACCACTGATTTTGCAAAGTGTGTTGTGGAGATCTGGCTGGACAGGTTTACCATCAGAGTGGATATACCATTGTATTAAAATCAAGATAGAAAAGCTGCCAAGTTCTTTGGCGTGTGGCTGGTTGGTCTGAAATCCTTGCAAGATGCCGATGCTCAAGCTGTTGACATGCTCATTGCCTACTTTAACAACTGTCAGAGAAACATGATGGGGTAAGGCGGTGCTTTTTTAAAATCGTTCATAGACTTCTGTAAAATGCAAGATAAATTAAAGTTATTATAACAGTGATTCTTTCAATCTGGTTTGTCCTTCAGTTTTCTTTTCTATAAAAATTGTGCTCAACAAATTCAGCAAAACAGTTTGTGCTTGGGCTCTGGCGAGGTCTCTGTATCCTTATCCTGAGAAACTGAACATTGGCAGGCGCTTCAGCTGAGCAGCCATTTTCTTTCTCAGCTGCTCTCTCTTGGGATACATAAAGTAGCCACAAGTTCACATGAGAGGGTGGTTGGAGTGTGAGATCTGGGAGGACAGTGTGTTTTCAGTGTCCAGGGAACGACTACACAGATTTGACTTCTTTTCATTATGTGAGGATTATTGCTGCTACCTCACTGCCAAGTCCTCCAGCTATTACCACATGAGGAAATACAGGATGCTAGGTACCCTCCCTCCTTAGAATTTTCTTCCTTATTGGCCACAAAGAGAATCTTAGAAACATAGCCTCTAAGAGTGTCTTGTAACTGGCACACTAAGAAAAACCCTAGTTGGGCATATGTTGGCGAGGAAGCGATGTGGCATGTGCAGTACAGAGAATTCTTCTGCAAGTCCAAACCCTGACGCTAGAGGAAGCTTTTCTTTTTCCTCCCCAGCTTGTGTTCTGGGTTTAAAAAAGGCCCACCACAAATGCTTTTCTATTTTGTGTATTAAAGTGGCTTTTGAATGTGACCATGAGAAACCAAAAAGTGATGCTGCCTGTGTGGTGCTTCTGGGTACCTCCAGTTCTGCCTTCTGAGGATTTGGGTGAAAGGGTATTTCTCCATTGAGCACAGGAGGAAAGATCATCTTATGTGTCTGCTGTGATCTGCCTTGCACGCACTTGAGAAGAACGGCATAATACTGCTCCTCACTTTCTTGTTGCCAGACTATTCCTAAGTGGCCCATGAGTAGTCACTCAGCTCTTAATATCTCGACTACATTGTTTTTAATCACTGTGACCCTTAATTTTAAATCACAGGCCAAGTGTTGTAAAGCACCTTGGCCATGAAGCAGTGGAGAGAGCAGAGCATTCCTTCAACTCAGTAGGTCCTGAGGGGACTACACACTGACTAAGCTGCCACGACTGCCCTGATGAACTCAACTGGTGGTTATGATGCCGTCTTCCTTCTTTTGTATCCACGCCCACACAATTCTCGATGTTGGATGTTACTGCGTGAATAAAGCAAGGATCAGTGCCTCTCGTGTAATTAGCTTTCCATTGCTTTTGTGTGTATGTATGTGTGTTTCGTTCATTTCTTTACTTTAGTGGGACCCCTTAGGGGAAGACACGAGACTTTATAGTTTGGTGACAGGTTGGCACAGTTATGTTGGCAATTTCAACCCCAGTTTTTTTTTTGTTTTGTTTTTAGTACTTTGCTTTAGTTTTTTTTTTTTTTTTT